TGTGTGTGTGTGTGTGTGTGTGTGTGTGTGTGTGTGTGTGTGTGTGTAAATGCAGTGGTTCTGTAGGACAGACCAGCAGAACAGCATGACAGTTGGATCCCCTGGAGCTGGAGTTACAGGACTGTACCCTGCCCAAGGGCTGGGCAGTTTCCTTAGTGCTTTGCACTGAGACATCTCTCCAAGTCACGATAGGATCTTAGTCTGTTGATCAAACTCTAGACATCGAGATAGGCCTGTCCTTCCGTATATCGTTTAGCCAGGCTTTGGCTACAAAAGTCTCTAGCATGGCGGTACAGCTGTTGATGGCTCACGAGAATTGATATTGAGTCCCTTATGGAGACGCTGAAGCTGATAGTGAGAAAGAAACAATGGCTTGAGGACTCAAAGCCAGCAAGCTGCAGAAAAGGGGGCACACACCCCAGGACTATCTGCCCCAGATGTAGACCCCCCCAGGCGGGACTGTCAGGCCTATTATCAAGCCTGCTTCTCTGCCTGGTAACAATCCCATTTCTGATTTCCCTTTTGGGTTCCTGAATACTTTTGAAAGCAAACGAAAGGAATTGTTTTAGTTAGGGTTTCTATTGTTATAACTAAACACCATGACCAAAAGCAACTTACACTTCAGATTACAGACCATCAGTGAGGAAGTCGGGCAGGAATGGATGCAGAGGTCATGGAGGAATACTTACTGATTGCTCCCTCCTGGTTTGTTCACTCTTGATGGTTTATATACCCTCGACCCAGAGAGTGGCACTAATAGAAGGTATTGCCTTGTTAGAGTAGGTGTGTCACTGTGGGTGTGGGCTTTAATACATTAATCCTAGCTGCCTGGAAGTCAGTATTCTGCCAGCAGATGAAGATGTAGAACTCTCGGCTCCTCCTGCACCATGCCTGCCTGGACACTGCCATGTTCCCACCTTGATGATAATGAACTGAACCTCTGAACCTGTAAGCCAGCCCCAATTAAATGTTATTCTTATAATAGTTGCTTTGGTCATGGTATCTGTTCACAGCAGTAAAACCCTAACTCAGACACCTAGCTTTTTTTTTTTTAGTACCCAGGAGCACCAGCATAGAGATGGGCACCATTCAGAAATGGGCTAGGCCCTCCCACATCAATTGTTAATTAAGAAAATGCTTCATAGACTTGCATACAGAAAAATCTTACAGGGGCACTTTCTCAATTGAGGTCCCCTCCTCTTAGGGGGCTCTTTTTGTATTAAGTCGACATAAAGCTACCCAGCACAAGGGTTGAGCAGGCAGTCCTGAGCTGGGGGCTGTGGCAGGCTGGGTGGGTCTGTTCTTCATTCTGTAGTCAGTTCCTGGATAGAGCCGGAGCCATTCCTACTTAAAGCTTCACCAGTCACCTACATGTCTTTGGTCATAGTTGAGTTGGTAATTTTATTTACGGAATCAGAAGCTCCAACTTGTCCTTTTGCAGGGCAGCCCGGGGGAGCCTGGAAAACTGGGAGATTCTGGGTTAAATATTCCAATTCTTCCCCTGTGAGGGCCTCAGCTGGGAGAATCAGAGCATGCATAGTCAGGGTGGGGTCCCGGGGCAAGGAGCCAACATCCTGAGTCATAGAGGGGCCAGGGAGTCAGGACTAGAGCAAGGCACACCAAGCAAGAACTGCTGAAGGAAAGCCAGGGAGTGAGAGAAGTCAGCAGCTGTAGGCAAGGTCACAGTGGGGATCTGCATCAAGCCTGGAGCCAAGAACCAACCTGGCAAGGCAAGATCTCAGGGACAGGGATTGGAGAGGTTGACCTGTGTCTAGATCCCCAGAGCTGCTAGCCTGTGCTCAGGGAGGACTGTGGCCTGAGCCTGGTGGGTTGATTGGCCCAGGGCTGGAAGTGCTCAAGATTAGGAGGGAGCATCTGACAGGGGTGACACTCAGGCTCCACGGAGAGTGTTTAGCTCTCCAGCTATGGTGAAGCACATCCAACACGCTCAGGTCCAACCTACCCCTTGCTCCATGAAGACCTCGCTTCTGTGTCCCATCAGCTGAGGCACCTGGTGCCACAGCTCCTCTGTGGCATCTCAGCTGGCTCCCTCTGGAAGAAAACTGCAATCGTCAAGACCCTTAACTCCCAGACACTGTTCTATGTCATGCCCTTTTGTTTTCTCTTCAAAATACATGGAAACAAATGTATAAAATGTGATAAAAATAGTAGGTGATATACAATTAGATGCACATTTTCCCTGAATCTTGTGTGTGTGTGTGTGTGTGTGTGTGTGTGTGTGTGTGCATGTGGAGGCCAGAGGACAACAGGCTCCTTGGTAACCATTCTCTTGGTTTTCAGCCACAGTCTTTCACTGGTCTAGTAGCACTCATTCTACAGTCTCTGGGATTACAAATGTACATTACCACATGTACATTTTTTTGTTGATTTGTTGCTTGTAAATTACATTTATTGGTAGGAGTGTGCCGTGGTGTGTATACGAGGGTTGGAAGGTCATCCTTAGCTGTATAGCGAGTGAATTTGAGTCTAGCCTGGTCTATAGGAGACTAGCTCCAAATTTTTTTCCACTAAATTATTTTGATGTCCAAATTGCCTCAGAATTTGTTAGAAACTACCTCAAGATATCTCCTGTGGCTTTTTTTTTTTTAACACAACAGCAAAAACACGCAAGCAAAAACAAACCCCTGTCCTTAAAAAAAAAATCACTTTGTGACTTTTTAATAGAACCAAATGTTTCGACTATCTCTAGCCAGTTCTGGATTAAACTACTTCTTCTTTTGTTTTTGTTTTGTTTTGTTTGTTTGTTTCTGGCTCTTGAGACAGGGTTTCTCTGCCTCCCAAACACTGGGATTAAAGGTGTATACCACCATGCCTGGTTTAAACTATATCTTTAAAATAATTAAAAGAAGTAGTTTAAATTCTGTTAGTAGTGAATGGTATTAAAGATCAGATTTAGAGTGTTGACATCATTGCAACTAGAAGATAATACAGTTTTATTTTTCTGCATAAGATTTATTTTTTGTGTATGTCTGTATATGTCTGTGCATGATTGCAGTGCTCTTTGAGGCCAGAAGAGGGCAGCAGAGCGCTTTAAGATGGAGTCTCCGTGATTGTGCGCCACTTCACATGGTTGCTGTCATGCCCTTAAGGACTGAGCCGTCTATCTCTCCAGCCCCTTTACACATTCAGTGTTTTGGTTTTGCTTACTGAGCTAGGGTCCCACTATGCAGTGCAGGTTGGCTTCAAGCTTGCAATCCTTCTGCCTCAGCTTTTTAAATCCTGAAATTGCTTGTGTATACTACCACATCTGATTCCCCCATTCCACCTTTGTTTCTTCCTCTAAGAACCCAGCTTCCAGCTGTATCAACATATTAACTCAGCCCCCTGTTCTGTCTAAAACGTCTCTGACTGGCTTCATGCATACCATTGGGAGCAACAGAGCTACTTAAAATAGCTCAGGGGCTAGCAAGATGGCTCCTGGGGGTAAAGGTGCCTCCTGCACAAACTTGGCCCCTGACCTACATAAAGGTGGAAGGACAGAGCCTACTCCACAGAGTTGTCCTCTGAACTCAACATACTTGTGTCACAGTCACCAACACAGAGCACAGACTGGTAAATAAAATTTACTTTTTAAAAACAAGAGTTTAGGCTAGACATTGGTGGAGCATGCCTTTAATCCCAGCATTGGGGAAGCAGAGGCAGGTGGATCTGTGTGAGTTCGAGGCCAGCCTGGTCTATGCCCAGTGAGTTCCAGGACAGCTAGAGCTACATAAAGAGACCCCCCCCCCCGACATACACACCCAACCATCTACTAAAGCAACAGGAAAACAGAGAGTTTAGGATTTGTTGTTGGTTCTTCTTCCTCCCAATCACACCCTTTGCCCTCCAGCTGAGGGTCTAGAGTCAAATAATTTATTAAGTTAGTGCAATTTATTCTTTAGAAAATTTTAGTGTGGCTATAGAACTAGTCTGAAATAAAACTGATTTCATTTTATGTAATCTGCCTCCAATTCTTGCGTTCTTTCCATTCTTACTGATTTTTAATCTCTCTTTGTTTGTTTAATTTTGAGACATTGTAGCCCTAGGCTGTTCTAGAACTTGCTATGTGCTATATTTCTATGTGCTATATTATGCAATTCAGTATATTCATTTAATATCTTCTGGGAGGTATTCCATACAAGTTCATAGAAATACTCATTTTGTGTGTTTCTTCTTCTTCTTCTTCTTTTTTTTTTTTTGGTTAGTTGGTTTTAGTTTGTTTTGAGTTGGGTTTCATGTAGCCTCAGCTAACCTCAAACTTGCTGTATAGCTGAGGATTAACTTGAACTCCTCTTCCCCCTACCCCACCCCCACCTCCCATCCTCCCACCCCCACCCTGCTCCCAGACAGAGTTTATTATAGCCTTGACTGTCCTGGAACTCTCTGAAGACCAAGCTGCCTCTGCCTCCTGAGTGCTTTGGTTAAAGGCGTGTGACACCACCACCCCACTTAACTTGAACTTCTAATGCTCCTGCCTTCACCTCCCGAGTCTGCTTTACATACTGCTGAGATTCCCACCCAGGGCTTTGCACATACCAGACAAGCACTTTACCAGGCTGAAGCCCCATCCTCCAAAGGATGTATTTGTTACCAAGTTCCCTGGTGCACTTTAACTACCAAGCATCTGCAACTACAGTTAGTTCATCCGGACGCACCCCTTCATCGTTTAGTTCTGCTCACTGGGTCAGATAAGACTTTTTGGCGTATATCAAAGCCTCCTGCACAGAAACAAACACTAGTGGGCAATGGGAAACTCGGAACCACCTGCAACCGAGCCTCTAGGATCAGTGCCCAGACCATGTTGGCAAAACCTATCTGATGAGGAATCCA